CCGAATGGGACCCCAGCGAGGCAGCTCTCTAAGAGGGCAGAGTGCAAGGCCGGGACCCGCTGACCACCGCCACCCAGGCCCCATGGCTCCTAGAGACTGTAGATAAGGATCCTGATGCTGTCACTCTTTGTGGGAGCAGACAGCCTCATCGTCACCCCTCAGAGAGGCTTGTGGGTTTTAACTGGTGACCTTGCAGCTAGCAGCCAACACTTACCTACGAGGACTGCAGAGATTCTTGAAGGCAGGGAGTCTTTACTAATCAAGCTAACCTGCAGTCACTCTGGGAGCCCCGTTGGCATAGTGGGTTACGCCTTGAGCTGCTGACCGCAAGGTCAGCGGGTTGGATCCACTAGCTACTTGGGGGGCAGAAGGGGGGGGCGAGGCTGAACCCCTTCTGTAAAGAAGTATATCATTCTAAACTCTACAAAGCAGTTCCACTCTGTCCTAGAAGGCTGATACGAGTCAGAGTCGACTCCAGGGCCGTTGGTGGCATTGGCTGGTCCCTTTGAGGGCGGGCGATGGACCGCTCTCTGGAAGGCAAGATGGCCACACTGAGCCTCTCGTAGTTTGGGGAGGCCCGACGCTGGAAGAGGGCAGCGACTCAGAGGAAGACCCTCAGCATGCGGGCCGGACACGAGGGGGGGGCACCGTGGGCTCAAACATCACAGCAACGTGAGGTTGGTCATCATGCGAGGTCACTGCCAACAGGAACTCACAGCACCATTGCCTGGTTTCAAGAAGACTCACATGGTTTGGTGAAATGTATAAAATCTGCCTGGGAGTAGAAACCAAATATACAGATATATTTCGTAACTTCACAATCCGAAAATATTTCAAGGAAGTGTGGGACGCAGCGGTTACATGTTGGGCCGCCACCTTCAAGGTCAGCAGTTCCAAACCGCAGCCCGATCCAAGGTTGGTCCCAGGAACCCCCGGGAGCAGTTCTGCCCTGTCCCACAGGGTCACGATAAGTCAGCCTCGACTCGTGGGAGAGTGAGATCTTTTAAAAGGAAAAGGGATTTCTCCGGGAACTGTGTGGAGACCCCTTGGATCCACGGATGTTCCGTTCTGAGACAGGGCCTTGTGGGGGCTCTGGTTCCCAAACAGCTTTTAAAATAATAAACCTCTCCTCCTCTCGAAGTAAACATCACCCTTCTCCTCTCAGCAACCTGGGATTCAGCCTCGGATTCCTGACCATTTCCCTGGGAAAGCAAACCGGACTACCTCTGACCCGTCATGCCAAACGGATTTCCAAGATGGCACCCGAGCCCGTAGGGATTTGCATCTTTGTCAACACAGGCTGAAGAGTGGTTTTCCACGCTCCTCCGCCTGCCCTGGGTTCAGGAAACGCTGTGCACGTCCTAAGAACCAGGGTGGCTGCGCTTTGCCACGTTTCCTGCTGGGAAGCAGGAGTGGCTCCTGACAGGGAAGAGCTCTTTTCTGTAGCCGCCATCACGGTCCTTACCCCGGGCTGCTGATTTGCACGTTTTACCGGTTGGGCTGCTAACCACAAGGTCAGCAGTTCGAAACCACCAGCTGCTCCTTGGGAGACAAGACGGGGCCTTCTACTCCCAGAGTTACATTGTCTCAGAAACTCACAGGGTGGCTCTGCCCTGGGTTATAGGATTGCTATGGGCCATGGGTTGGCATCAACTCAGTGGCAGAGAGCTACCTTCAATAGAGTGATGTAAATACAGAAGCTTCCTATTCTATTCGTCCACACAGGTTTCTGTGACTGCTCGTCACTGTCACAGCACCCAGGACCCACGAGACACTGGCTTTCACTTCTCCGACGTTCCTGACGTTTCCGTATTTGGTGACCCCTTGAGAACGCGCTTGTTCTCAGAAGGGTGGACGGGCTACCCGGCGCCGCTGGTGCACCCAGTGGGTGCAGGGTGCCTTTAGGGCAACCGAGTTTCAATCCCAGGCCTCCGTTTGTTGGTGGGAAGTCAGTTCTAGTTTCACAAGGGGGAGGTTACTGCATAAGGGGGTGGCCTTTGATCTGGGGAATCTCAGCTCCGCCCACCTGCACAGGTGAGAACACACAGGTGTGAGCATACAGGTGTGGCACCAAAACCCCCACCCTCTTTCTCAACCCTTGGCAGACCCGCTTCAGCAGAGCTGGGAAGGGGTGAGGGTGGGGGGGTCCTTGGCTCTGGCCTCCACCCTGCAACTGTGTCTCCGTGGAGCTGCCAGCAGCCAGGTCAGCAGCTTAAAGCGACCGGGGTTCCACTTCCTGCCCCCAGACAGTCACCCCAGACCCCACCGGAAAAACCAGTAGCAAATTAAGTATCTGAAACTCGGAGGGTTTGCGCGACCCGCTTGAAGCCCTCAGTGAGAGACAATTATTCGGGATAGCCCATTGCTGGGGCCGCACCCTCTGTCCACTGGCTTCCTAGTGGCCCTCCTGTCTTCTAGCGGTTCCAGGGCTCAGAAATCACAGGTCCCTGGTGGTGCCAGAGAGCCAGGCCCTCAGCAAATCCTGTGCCCCTCCCCTGCCCCCTGCCAATCTGAAGTCCACCACCACCCCCTGCACTGCAGCTCCTCCCCGCACTCCTGAAGTGGCTGCAGTTTCGAGATGGCAGCTGTTTGTCCAGACACCTGGTCTGTGCAGGGGCTGCACCTTCGTCCACCCCAGGGAGCGCCTGCCTCGGTCCGCTCCCTGCCTGGGGACCTGCCCGCCAAGCCCTGGGCTCAGATGTGGGCTCTGAGCACACATCCCCACTTCTGGCCACCCTCATAGCCCCCCAGCTGCACCATCACAGCCTCATGGTCACAGTAGCCACACCTCCCTTTAAGAAAGAGGGGCACCCACTGGGGTGAGCACAGCCCACAGGGGGCTCCTAATCCAGCTGTCGAGGGGTCCAGAGGCTGAAAGAGAAACAGGGTGCCATTTACCAGAAGAGGGGGGAGGAAGGGTCCTGGTCGGAGCTGCCGGCAGCCCTGCGTGCCCCTAGGAGTCTGACCAGCAGGCTGCTTTGCTAAGGGATCAGGGTGGACGTGGGCGTCTGTGAGTCAAGGAGGTGGGATGGTGCAGGGCACCCCCACAGGCTGACCCTCGAAA